TGTCCTATACTTACTACGTTTTGGGAGAAAGTAGTTGATTATATAAATATGACTGTGCAAGAAAAGCTAAAATTTTCAGAGGATAATATTCTCTTGAATTACATACCTATTACATGGAATTTGACAACTGGACAATGTAATTGGATCCTCCCTGCTCGCCGCTTATTTTCAAATGAGATAAACAAGAGGTTTTTGTCTAATTCTAGTAATACCAAGAATCCTCAAATAATATTCCTTGTGTTATTCCTGTTAGCGTACCTCATTTTTGCTGAACTACAGTGCCTATGTTCTGTTCATAGTATCCCACTGCAAAGACATCTGCGTTTCTGGTTTCAGAGGGCACACATCTATTTGTGTATATATATGAATGAGAACACTGTGTAACACCAGATACTTACCCAAATAGTATAAGTCAATGAAAATACATATAGCAAAATGTATAAGGAATTGCAATAGTCATTTAACTAATGTTCTCAAATCTTGACCAACTTATTTTAAAATGGGTCATTTGAAGGATTTGACAATCCAGCTGTCTTGAGTGCTAAATCAGCTGAGAGACCATGAAAGAACATCTGAAAGTTTGTGGTGAGAATGGATTAACTCCAGATTTTCAGGAGCCAACTTTATTTATCTACAGTAGACCTATGAGATCTGTGCCATAAAAATATAGATGTCAACTAGATAGAAGTTAGGAGACAAGGAAAACATTAACTCTTTGTGGTTATCTACTGGTTGTCCAGATTTCTGCAGCCCAGATCTGGTAGTCATAATCTACTGACATATAGGTCAGGACTGGCCTTCAAAGTTTATGCAAGGTAATCAATGATGGGAGAACTACAGTGAATTCAAGCCTATTCACCAGAGAAAGAAAAGATACAAATGGTCAGGGTGCTGAGGAATGTTATTAATGTGTAAAGCAAATAAAAGATTCAGCTTTGTTAAGCTCATTTTCCATTCTCCCTTTGAAACCATTATGTTCAATAATATATCACTTCTATTTAAAATTGATGAACCACTTTAGAAGCTTCAGCAGCAGCACAATTTCTCCCATTCATTCTATTCTTTGAGGCTTCTAAAAACAGGGAAGGTCACTACTATATCAAGATTTTACTATACAGAAGACACCCTTAGACAGCAAATTGAAAGAACAACTCTACCTGTGACCACAATAGCATGCCATAAAGATTAAAACATTTTAGGAAACAAACTATATTCAACAAGCTAAGGAAATAAAGCCCTAATTTGTTCAACCTACAAGATGTTCAACAAGCAGAGCAAAAATGAATGAGTCCCTCTTGAGGCCATGCTATTTAGAATATCAAGCTTAAAAAAAAATCCAACAAAATGGATTTTAGATTTAAGCAGTAAACGATAGACTTCTTGAAGATTGTTGATCTGTACATAAGAATACAGGCAGGGCACATTCCTGCGGATCATACATAAGATCTTCCATTGCTGATTAGATGGTTTGCTGTTATAGTTGCAAGCTTCCTCAATTTTAATGCTAAGCAACAGTCAGCTATCCTTATGCGTATAATTAAATTAAACTACATGAAGCTGATATTATGCTTCCTCCCTGAGAGATGACAGAGTAATGTTCATCCATGTCTCTTTCAGAGAGCAGGCTAAGAAGGAGATAAAAGTCTATGCATACAGGACATACATGTGTTTAATATTTTCTAGATCAGACTTTTCACCATGTTGATTCTGAATCCTGGGAACTGTATTCTAGAGGACACTAGACTAGGTAAAATGTTCTAGACTAGTCAATCATTCCCATCTGTTAGCTGTAGGAAGAAAGTACAAAGCAGAGAGGGGCACACCAGCATATGGGCAGTTTTTATCTTCCATGTACCTTTCCCATGTACTCAAGGTAGCAGGAATTCATTTTGTAATATATGACTAGACTGTGCTCTAAATACATTAATTCATTGAACTACTGTATTAGTTGGGTTCATATCCAGGCAAACAGTAGTAACATTATTCTCATAGCTAGCAAGCCTAAATACATTACCCCTACTTATTCCTATTACTTAGTTCCATCAAACATACTTCTTTTAAATAGCAGTCACAATCTTCAAATGACCACTTCATTCTCAGATATTTTAAGCTAGCCTGAAAATACTTTAGAACCAAGTTAACAGAACAGTAATTCTTGGAATAAACGTAATAAACTTATTTGCAACAGCTATGCCAGAAACTTCAATTAACCAGACTTCCTTTTAGCTCTATGAGTCTTGCTCCACCACTTTGAGTGTCACAAGGGGGAAAAGCACATGTGCACGCATTCAAAGCTTAAATCATTAATTAGCCCAGCAAAGATGGATAGATGAAGAGACCGCCAATGGCAAGAGTATCAACATGGATTGTTCTGCTCTGTCATTGTATTTTCCATTCTCTTCAGTAACAATATATTTGAGAGAATATGATCTCAAGCAAAATGATGAAATGTATTCCTCATGTTCAAACACTTAGCCCCTTTATGGACAATATACAGAAAAAGCAGCAGGACTTTCTTCCATTGTGCCTTTAAAATACTGAATGATTCTCCTATTCTTTCTTCCTTAAAGCAATAGATCTTTGTCCAGCCTCTTAGAATTACTGCTGTTTGGAAGATCTTCTCCGAATCAAAAATGTAATCTTCCTTTCACAAGCAATGAACAAGAAGGTTAGAGAAACAAATCAATGCACAAATACTATGCCTTGGTTAAACAAGCTTCAAAACAGGCCTGTGATTTAAACAGTGCCAATAATTAATAATCAGGGAGAGGAATAAAAGAACACAATTAACAGCAAGTTTATATTTTCATTTCTTTTTAAAATAACAAAATAAAATTCAAGATGCAAACAATAGTTCTATGTCTTTTCCCTGCCCTTCAAACACATTAGCCTAGAAGAGCCAACACCCTCCAGCTGCTTTTGTTTGGGGACTTAGAAATAATTAGTTCAACATTTGCAGTATGTTCCAGGGCTTGCTCAATCCATTCACCAGATGTTACTCTCCGATCCATCTGGCTGCCAAAATGAATGGAAGAGCCACAATGAGCTGCTTTTGCTCTTTAGCTGCAACAACAGCCACCAAGTTCATGGGTCTCATAAGGATTTCAAGCCCATTAAGTTTTGGTCCCTTCTTTCTTTTCATCCTAGCCTCTCCTAACCTCACTATTAATGCCTTTAGAAAAGATATATACACAAATATGTTGTTCTTTCTCAAGCAAGAAAAATATGCTGTGTGTAAATAGAAAAAAGAAGCACGCCTATTGAATTCTGATATTTTGGCAACTAGCTGGCACTGTATAAATTGTGCTCCTTTAAAATATAGATTGTTTTAAGCACCTGATCTTCTTGTCAGATTTGGCTGTTTTCCCAACTATAAATGGCAACAGTCATTAATCCTTTAATAACTTAGTGTAGAGATTGCTGGGTTAGATCATATGAATTTTGTATAGGGCAGCTTCATGTATGTTTTTATTTTAAAATACCAAATTGTTTAAAATTTTCTCTTGAATTAATCATCACCCATACAAGACCTAGTCTTACTTTTGGTTCTTCCCCCAACCTCATTTAGATAAGCACAAAGAACAGGGTCCTTTCACTTGTGATGCCAACATTTCAGAATGCTATTCCCAGGAATTTTACTAGATTTTATCTTCATGTATTTCAATTATAGTAGTAGTAGTAGTAGTAGTAGTAAGCAGCAGCAGCTCTTCAGAAAAGGCTTATGGCTCATGTGGTTAAACAGATTGAAATTTAC